ACTTCGCGGCCCTGTCGCCGCCCCTATCGGCCCTGTCGCCACTCCTAGCGGCCCCGTCGCCGCCCCTAGCGGCCCCGTCGCCGCCCTTCTTGGCCCCTCGCGACCCCTTCGCGGCCCTGTCGCCGCCCCTTCTCGGTCTCGTCGCCGCCTTTAGCGGCCCCGTTGCCGCCCCTAGCGGCCCCGTCGCCGCTCTTCGTGGCCCCGTTGCCGCCCCTAGCGGCTCTGTTGCCGCCCCTAACGGCTCCGTTGCCGCCCCTTGTGGCCCTGTCACCTGCTCGTCGCGACGCACCCCCCCATGGCCGCCGCCTCTGCCTCCCTTGCGCCCGTGCCTGCTTTGTAGCAGCGCACGGGCCTGCCTTGCAATAGCAGCCACCCCTGGAGCAGCCACCCCAGCAGCACCAGACCCTGGAGCAGCCGCCCCAGCAGCAGCCGCCCCTGGAGCAGCCGCCGCTGCAGCAGCCGCCCCTGGAGCCGCCGCCCCTGCAGCAGCCGCCACTGCAGCAGCCGCCCCTGGAGCCGCTACCCCTCCAGCAGCCGCCACAGCAGCAGTAGCCCCTGGAGCAGCCGCCACAGCAGCAGCAGCCCCTGGAGCAGCCGCCCCAGCAGCAGCTGCCCCTGGAGCAGCCGCCCCTGGAGCCGCCGCCCCTGGAGCAGCCGCCACTGCAGCAGCCGCCCCTGGAGCCGCTACCCCTGCAGCGGCTGCCACTGCAGCAGCAGCCCCTGGAGCAGCCGCCCCTAGAGCAGCCGCCACTGCAGCAGCCGCCCCTGCAGCAGCCGCCCCTGAAGCGGTCGCCTCTGCAACAGCCGCCCCTGGCCACAGGAGCAGCCGCCACTGCAGCAGCTGCTCCTGGACCCGATGCAGCCGTGGGGGGGTGAGTATGGAGGTGGCGGGTGTGGGGGTGATGAGTGTGGGAGGTATGGGGGTGGCGGGTGTGAGGGTGAAGAGTGTGGGAAGGGGTGCGGCAAGGGGTGTGAAAGGGGTGTGGGACAGGTGAGGGAGGTTGAGTGGAGGTGGCCGCCGTGAAGTCAGCAGCTCCAGTCGCCCGAGAGACCGTTGCGCCAGTCGCCAGTGAGCCCGTCGCTCCAGGCGCCCGTGAGCCCGTTGCTCCAGTCGCCCGTGAGTCAGTTACTCTTGACGCTCGTCTAACCGCGGAGTCAGTTACTCCAGTTGTCCGTGTGCCAATTGCTCCAGTTGCTAGTGTGCCAGTTGCTCCAGTGGCTCGTGTGCTAGTTGCTCCAGTTGTGCAGTGTGCCAGCAGCTTCAGCTGCCGCCCACCACCTCCTCTCCTCTCATTGTCCCTCCTCCTCCTCACTTGCCCTCTCCGTCTGCTGCGCTCTGCTTGGTGTACCCCTTCCGGGGGTGTTTCTGCACATGGTTCTTCTCTGCAGGCAGTTAGGGGGTGTGTCAGAATGTTATTGTATACATCACTTTATAACTGCCTGCAATGTAAACTTAGTGTAGTTATCTTACTTGTTAGGTGGTGCACCTTGCTTCACTTCTTTCATATTTGTACCCTTGAACCTATAGTGAAACCATCATTCTTCTTCACAACTCTCTCGATACTTCTCCTTACCGTCGAACTTAACTACCAAGTCACCTAAACCTATGGCTCCTTAGCCCACCCATACTTAGTATCTTAACATAATGGGCAGGCGGAGGTTCTGGGTGTCGAGTAAAACGAGGTCGTCGGGCTGGTAAGTGACAAGTCGGCGGTGGCGGTCGGCGTTGGGTTTAGCGATGATGTTACCCTATTGAGCGCTCTATAATCGATGCACATGCGAAACCCTCCGTCTTTTTCAGCGTGAACAGTATCAGTGCGGCGAACGGTGACGAACTCGGTCAGATGAATTTCTTCTCTAAATGCTTCCTCAGTTCGTTGAGCTCGGGTTGTGTCAGTCTGAACTGGCGCTGTACAGTTGGTTGTGCTCCCGGTTCTAATTCTATTCGATGGTCATGTGCTCGCTGAGGTGGCAGTCCCTCCGGTAAATTGTCGGGAAAAATCCGCTGCCAGCAGTTTCTTGAAATCACTCGGCTGCTCTTCTTCTTCTACCACTGCAATGTCTAGTGCGTACACGTCAGCTCCAGCGGCGACAGCCCGTTTCATGGTGATGGCGTTGACGTGTACCGTTGAAGACTCAGGCAACCGCTAGCGAGGTAGTTCGACCCAGTTACCGCTACTTCGCACAGTGCAGCTGCCCGTCGTCCAGTCAACTCGCGGGTTATACCATCGCAGCCAATCACGTCCCAGTAAAATATCGTGCCCATCCAGTGTCGTCGCGAACATTTCCTGCGTAAACCCGAAATTCCCCCCGCAGCGGACTTTGACTCTATCCACCTTTTCCCGTATGGCCAGTGGCGTGCCGTCAACTAAGCGTGCATCTATCTCTGGTAAACACTGGCTAAGTGTCAGTTGTAGTTTCCATGCGGTTGCGGTATCAACTAAACCGTGACTTGCTCCTCCGTCGATAAAAATCTTCACTACTGCTCCTTGTATTTTCCCGTGGATCAGTACTAGGCAATCCGTCGCTGTACCCTCCGTATTCGTCCGAGCCCGATCGATGAGATGAATCGGTTCTAAGACTCGGTGAGGGTCGGTGGGGTTGGGCGAGCAGGCAGTCTCGTCAGTAGTTGACTCGATTCCTACTGACTGCTGGCGTTTCCCTGCCTTGGGGACTCCCTCCTCGGCTCTGCTCCGCGGCGCCTCAGCTCCTCTGGGCACTCATTCTTGCGATGGCCCGGCCTGTTGCAAGCAAAGCAGCGCCCCTTAAATTGCGCGGCAGCTGCATTTGTCGCAACGGCGTGTACGGTGGCCTGCTCGATCGGCCCCCGAGGGCGATGTCCGTAGTAGGACCCCGGTCTCGGACGGCGCAAAATGTCAATTTTCTCGGCGAGCGCGAGAATCTCGTTGAAATTCGAGAGTCTGTGTAGCATGATTTCGTGTGAGATGTCCGGCCTTAGCCCTCCGACGTAACGGTCCACCCGCTCCGCTTCGTGCATGTAGCCGACTTGCTCGTATAATGCGAGAAAACCGCTCGTGTAGTCTTGGACCGACCCGAGCTGCCGCCAAGTATACAGTTTCTGTCAGAATGCCATCCACTAGACCATTGGGATAAAAGGGCTTGTTAAGTAGCGGGTCAGTGCGCCAATAACCCCCCAGGCCAACGTGCCTGTAACCCTTCCCTAGGTTCAATCGGGGATCACCAGTGGACCTCTGACAGTTTCTGACGCGCCGAAATAGAAGCCGTGGTTGGCTCAAAGCGCGCCCGTAGCCCTGCGCACCACGCATCCCACGTGCTGTACTGGGCGGTTTCGTAGAAAGAGCTCCAGGTGACGGCTGGACACGTAGGCCCTTCCTCTTGCGACGGTGGCTCGTAGGCGCGTGGCGACATGACGATGACTCGCCACCAGTCCATGGCGGGGCCTCTCAGCAGCGAGACGGCGTATCTAATCTTTGTTGCGTCCAACTCGACATGATTTGTGTCAAAGAATACGTTCATCGTGAAGACTCATGACTAAACCGTCGGACCTCCACGCTGGCTTGGGTCGAAAAAAGGCGGGCGCTGCGGCTTGAGTGGCATTGGCGCCATGATGGCGTGGTAGCCGCCTGCCGCCGCAAATTCCACGTGCCGACGGGCTTCGCGAGGCTCCCGTGGGCTTGGCGCGCCCCTGTTCCTTTCCATGCCAGGCATCGAGTGGGCGGCGCCATCACTGGTTGCGCCTGAGCGTTGTCCCATGATGTCATTCTGTGTCGGTGTGCCTGATGAAATGATGATCGGCTCCTCCGATTGTGTAGGTGCATTTGCAGGTGCGTGTGGTGGCGCCGGAGTATTCACCGTGGATTGCCGACGCGCGGAGTCACGTTCCGCCGTGAGCGTCGCAATTTTGAGCGCCGACTCCTCAACTTTTCGCACGAGACAGTCGAGTTGCTCCTGCGTCAGTGTCGCGAGAGTGGATTCGGCCATGGCGGGGGTGTCGGGCAAACTCGGCGAGAGCCTCTGTCGTGGCCGTGCGTGCTTACAAGAGAGCACTACGAGCGGCGGTGCTGTGTCGCTGAGAGACGTCTACCCCCCTAAAAATTGAGATAGTGGGGAAAAACGAAGGTGTGGGTGCGGTCCGAGAAGAGATCGTAGGCTCTGAATACCAAGTGTTACGAGTGCAATTGAGTGATCGAACGAGAACTGCACTATCGAAGCAATAGTACAATGAGCGAAGGCATGGGCGAAGAATATACGGTATAGCGAAACTGCAGTGGTAACGGTAATGAACTGTGGGTGACGCGCGACGGGCCTGGAACCGAGGTTTGGGAAAATGTCGAGGCGGAGGCCCGGAGCGCGGGTTACCCGCCGAGCCGTGAGGTCGGGGTGCGACATGCGAAGGTGGCGGGAGGATTGTCGATGCGAGGGTTGCGAGTGGTAACGGTGCTGTCTGTGGTGCTACAGTGGTGTACGCGCTAAGCAGGGGCGCGAAGTAAGGAAAAGGATTTTTTCCTTACAGAAGCATTACAAAAATTCTCCCCTTCCCCCCTTTCCCCCACACAACCCTCCTTCCCTTCAGATTATGGCTCCATTGGCAAATGGAGCCATAATCTTACACCATGTCAAAAACATGATCTTACCCACACCATAGGTCCATTCAAAATCATGTCAACTGCCAGCACCTGTGCTGGTATGCTGGGGATTGCTGTTTCCAGAGTGTTGTCGAAGTGATTCTAGGCCTGGCCTAGGGTGTCAACAACTTGGCAGATGAGTTGAGTAACACTACACTGTGTCTTTACTTCAGTCACACCCTGCTTCTATCACCGTATATTATTAGGACCACTTGCCATGAGACCAAATAGGAAGGCAACTGATATTTTATAAATATTACAGCATCAGTCTACATACGGTACTCTATAAACCTCCAAACCACAAACCACGGAGCGGAGGGAGGGGGATCAACTTGTTTCAAAACTACTCAGCAGGAAAACGCAAATACCATGCGGTGCACACCTCCTTTGGGACTAAAAGTTGTTGAGCATGCGAGCAAGAAGGTAATTGGGAGTGAGAAGAGAGTGCGGCATGTGCTCTCCTGTGAGTGGAGAGGTACTTTGCGAAGACAGCCAATCAGCAATTCTGCGTCGCTCATAAGTGAATCCATCGGCTGCCACCACAGGATCTGTCATGCGCTCCTGTGACCCAGAAAAAGGGGGGCGGAGGGAGGGTGGGGAGAGGCAAAGTGGAAGAGGAGACCATAGGGTGAGATTGAGCGGAGAGAGGGAGGAGGCAGGAGGTGAGGTCTGCAGAAAGAGAAGAGGAGGATGGACCAGGATGGGAACAGCCAGAACCAGAACCGGATCACCTCATCAACAGCCCACGACCCCACAATCAACACCAACACCACCCCGCCCCTCTACCCCTCTCTCTTCTCACTCTCTCTCACGCCTACATGTGACAGCGGGCACAGCAGCTGGCCCTCCACCTCCGCAGCCCTCCTTGCCTTCTCCTCGGCAGCCAGCCGAGCCACATCTGCCAGCACGGGGTGCACCACTGTGCGCAGGTCCGGGCGGTGCACTCTCTTGCGCTCCACACACCGCGCTGCCACGCGCACCACTCGCTCCACCAGCCCCAGCGGCCAATGCCCCGCGTTGGGGTCCAGGTTGCTGGTTACCACAGCCAGGACTCGGTTCATGTCCCGGGCTTCACCGAGGCCGCTGCCGCTGCTGCTGCCGCTGCTGGAGGAGTTGTAGGAGAGGCCGGAGAGAGGGGAGAGCGGGGAGGAGGCAGGAGGCCCAGGGGTGGTGCCGCTACCAACTGCACACTCCTCCAGCATGCGATGGAGGTGCTTCACGTTCCGCTTACCTGTCAGAAGCTGCAGCACAATAAGCCCAAACGCGTAAATATCCGATTTCACTGACAGCTGCCCCGTGCTCAGCTCCTCAGGGTCAATATACCCTGCAGTCCCCCGCACCTTCCACGTCACATGCCCCAGCCCATCATCCCCAGGGATGAGTCTCGCAAGCCCCACATCGGCAATCTTGCTGGTACCATTGGCGTCGAGCAGGATGTTGTCCGGCTTTAAGTCGCGGTGCAGGATGGGCGGGTCGTGCCGGTGCAGGAAGAGGAGAGCTCCGGAGATTTCCGCCGCGATGCGCAGACGATCAGACCATGAGAGAGGGATGACTCGCGGCTTGTCCAGGGCCACCACCGGTGCGCCTCCTCCTCCTCCTGCACCAGCAGCAGCAGCACCACCGGACCCTGCTCCTGCTCCTGCTCCTGCTGCTGCTCCTGCTGCTGCTCCTGCTGTTGCTGCAGCAATTTCAGCTGGTGACGATCCGGCCACGATCCTATGCTGCAGATCCCCACCAGACATGAACTCGTACACGATACAAGCCTCCTCGGGGCACTGCCCCATGAGCAGCACTATATTGGGGTGCCGCACGCGACTCAGCACCTCCACCTCTGTGCGGAATTCCGCCGGCCCCTGCTCGCTCCCAGCCTCTAGCTTTTTTATGGCCACCTCGCACCCGTACAGCTGGCCCCTGAACACCGGACCGAACGCGCCCCGACCCAGCATGTTTGCTTCGGAGAAGCCGTTAGTGGCCTCCCGAAGCTGGTCGAGCGTGAAGCGGCGGCAGTCGGAAGACTCGTCGGGGGGTGCTGCTGCTGACCCTCCTCCGCCCCCTGCTGTCGTGTTGGCTGCAGAGCTGGAGGGGTTGCTGCGAGGGGAGCTGGCTGTGGTGTCAGGCTGCATGCACAAGGAGAGGATGAGATGCGAACAAGGGAGAACAACGGGAAGGCATGAGCAGGAATGCTAGTTCCACCAGCGGGAGGCTGCTGAGGAGGCATTTTCTTTCCTTTTTGGTCACCGAGGTGCCACACTCACAGGAGTTGTTGTCCCAGGTGCAGCAGCAGTAGCAGCAGTTGCAGGGTTGAGACGGCTGGGGACCTTTCCTGGTGCTGCTGTTGCTGCTGCTGCCCTGTCGGCCACCTTGCGGAGAAACTCAGCTGAGTTGAAGGAGGAGCACGTGCTGCTCTCACTCGCCATGCTGTGATGCTCCTGTTGTTGGCGGGGCGAGGGGAGGGGTGTGTGATGGGGGAGAGAAGAGAGGAGAAGAAGTGGGGTGAGGAGAGGAGAGGAGAGGAGAGGAGAGGAGACACTGGGCTGGATAGCAAAGGGGATAGGGCTAAGGGCGAAGGGCTAGGCGTGAAGAGGGGAGGGATCAACGCAACGAGTAGATGGAGCAACACGTGACGATAAGCAACGAGCGGAGGGGAAAAGTAGCAAGCCGGACAGAAGGCACCGACCTGGTCGGGATCATCACAGTAGTCGTCCTCTCCACCCGAAGCAACAGCAGCAGTGGGTCTGACGACCCTGCCGAAGCTGAAGTCATTCCCATCACCATCATCCGAGCCCTGTAGCAGCTCCGACCGTAACCACCGGCCCCCCACGTCGCCCCCTGGGGCCGCCATGGCAGCAGGAGCAGCAGGAGCAGCGGGGGCTGCAAGAGCAGCAAGAGCGGTAGCAGGTGAAGGAGAGAAGGGGCGGCGGGCGAGGGGCGATGGAGATGTGGCAGGGGGAAATGCCTCTGAAGGTGATCGGTCAAACGCATTGCTCGTGACGGGTTTGAGCGGCCCAGATCCAAATGCCTTGTGCTGCTGCTGCTGCCTGTTGTCAGCTTCTATGCGCGCCTTTTCCAGCTCTACCTCCTCCACCATCTCTCGCACCCTCTCTCTCGCCTCCCTCGCTGCCTCCTCTGCTCGTGCAGCCTCCGCCCGTCGCTCCTCCAGCATCCTCTGCAACTCACCCAACCGCACCTCACTCCCTCCTTCCCTCCCTCCCTGCCTGCTCCCACCTCTTCCCACAAGATTAACCCCACCTGTTCCACCTCCTCCACCTCCACCTCCTCCACCTCCCCCTCCGCCTCCCCCGCTCGCCCCCTTGTGCACGAGGCCAAGGATAGGCGCAAGAGAAGCCAAGGCGCCTTTTTCTCTGAAAGACACTGCGCGGCGATCCAACGGGGACCGGGGCCTGGACAGCCCGCCTTTCCCCACAACGTTCCACTTCTGCTTGCCCACTGCTGCTGCTGCTGCCCCTGCCCCTGCCCCTCCGCTTCCTCCCCCTGCCCCTTTTTCTCCTCCTCCTCCTGCTGCTGTCTCCTCCCCTCCACCGTCACTGCCACCAGAATTGACACCCTGATGCACAAACTGCAGCTTCTGCTGCTCTTGCTGCTCCTTGTGCCCCCTCTGCTTCAGCACTACACCAGCCAACACACTCAGCACACCCGCTTCACCTCGGCCCTGCGACTCCCTCTCCCCAGCTCCCTCCTCTCCTTCCTCCCCTCCGTCCTCCCCTCCTCTCTCCCCACTACCCTCTCCTCCCTCCCCTCCCTTTTGTGCTTCCCTCGAGTGCTCCCCCCGTCCACCTGCCTGCCCCTGCTGCAGCTCTGTCACTGACACCACCCGTCTCAGGTTGCGGGCGCGCAGATCACCAGAAGCAGCAGCAGCAGCCATTGCCTTCTGTACAACCATCTCTGTCGGGAAATTCTGTGACGCCTCCTCCCCACCTCCCTCACCCTCTTGCTCTCCCCACACGTTCCCCCCTTCGCCTCTCCTCCCTCTTCTGCCTCCAACTTCCTCCCACCTGTGTGACCCTTCCACCCCTGTGCCTGCCTCTGCTGCTGCTGCTTCTGCTGCTGCTCCTCCTGCTGCTCCGCCTGCTCCTGCTGCTGCATCAGAGTCAGCAGCAACGTCTTGTGTCTGCCCTCTCTCCACGTATCCCCCCATTGCGCTACCCATCTGTCCCTTACTGTGCGAGCCGAAGATTTGGGCAGTACCAGAGATGGCAGCAGCAGCTTCTGCTAGCGGATCCCACCCGTCACTGCCACTGCCACTATCATTGCCACTGCCAGTCCCATTGTCAATGGCACGGCCATTCCCACTGCCATCCTGACTGCCAGTGCCACCCGCATATTCTGGAATATCTGCTTTCAAACTGCTGCTACGCAGGCTTCGCCCTCTGCTGTTGTTCATCCCAGCAGCATCCTCCCCACGATCACCACGGACACCCACGCTGCTGCCGCCACTACTGCCGGCAACACCACCTGAAGCGGCAGCAGCAGCAGCAAAAGAAGCAGCAGCAGTGGCACCGACAGGGCCAGGGCCAGCAGCAGTGAGAAGAGAGGCGGCATCAAAGGAACCGAGGGAGGGGAAGAGGCGGCAGGATTGGAATCGCTCCTTGGGCCCCCACACACCCTCCACCTCCAACTCCCTCGGAGTTAGCTCACCACTCACCGCACTTCTCACCCCCTCCTCCCCTCTCCTTCCCTCGCCCTCCCAGAGGCCCCTTTCTCCTCCTACTCCTCCGTGTCGCTGGAACGTTCTTTCTGTCACGAGCCCTGCTGCAGCAGTGATATCGCCTGCATGAGCACAAGAGGCGGCTGCACCTGCGACAACAGTTCCCGGAGCAGCAGCAGCAGCAGCAGCAGGGCCGGCGGTGGGTGCAGCATTGGCAGCAGCAAGCTGCATGGCCCTCTTGCCTCGACTCAATGTGCGCGAGTTGACAAGCATGCGCGACTGCGGTATACCTGCTGCTGCTGCTGCTGAACCACCACCAGCATTACCACCATCATCAACAGCAGCAGCAGCACCACCACCACCACCAGGCGAGGTAGACGCACTAGATCCACCAAAGGACCCCCCGCGGCTGAACTCCCGAGCATGGCCGGGAGTGGAGAGCGGTGAGGAGGAGGAGAAGGGGGACGGGGGAACAGACGGGCTCCAGGGAGAGGACGGCCAGAGGGCATAAGGCGAGGTGGGCGTGGTGGCGGAGAGAGGAGGGGGAGAGGGTGGGGGCCCGGATGGCACGGAGACAGAGAAATGCGGATAGGTGGGGACGGTTGGTGGGCGGGAGGGCAGCTGCTGGTTGCTGCCGGTAGTAGTGCTGGTGGAGCTGTGGGAACGGGAGAAGCCAGAGACGGGGTGTGCCGAAGGGAGATCTGCAAAGGAGAGCAGGCTGGAGCTGCCTGCTGCAGTAGCATCGGCGGCAGCGGTGGCGGCAGCGGCAGCAAAGGCAGCAGCAGAAGCATTCACCTTTCGTCCTGAGGCCCCTGAAGGGGTGGTGCCGGCAGGAGGAGAGAAGGGAGGAGAGGAGGAGGCAGTGGCATGGCTTGCGGTGGGGGAGGGGAGAGTAAGATTCAGACGGGCGTGCATGGGATGAGGCGCGGCAGTAGCAGCGGTGTGTGGCAGGCCAGGGGAGGACGAGGAGAGGGGGCAACTGTTGGTGGCTACATGCATAGTGCTGTCATGGTCGCAGCTGCCAGCAGGGAAAGCAGCAGTGGCAGCAGCAGCAGTGGGATGAGCAGCAAAAGAAGCAGCAACTGCGGATCCAAGCCTGGTGTGGCGAGCAGAGGGGTCCACGTCAGAGTCAAACAAGTCAACCGAGGCGAGCACTCCACTGGATGGTGCAGACCTGGTAGTGCCCATGCCCGAACCAGCAGCGCCTCGTTCCGCTGCCGCTCTTGACCCTGCTGCTGCTGCGGCTGAAGAGGCAGTAGCAGTAGCTGTTGTTGCTGATGCTGCTGCTGCAGTGGAAGGTGCGGAGGAGGAAGCAGTCGCTTTCCGGTGGGGGAACACAAAGCCAGCCATTCTGGATGCTGTGAAGTGTGAGGCACGCTTGCCCGATGCTGACACGGCTGCCGATGGGGAGTGCACCTGCTCAGAGATTGCTGAAACACCTGAAGCACTTGAAACACCTGAAGCAGCAGCAACACTGGTTCCGCCACCACTGCTGAAACCACGAGCAGCAGCATGATCACTCCTGGCCGTCAAATGGCCCATTCCATCCGTGCCCCCTCCGCCCTCTCCCCCTTCCACTAACTCACCCGAGCCTGCAGGCTCGGGTACAGTCAGACCTGCAGGCTTGGGCGAAGTGAAACTAGCAGGCTCAGCCGGTGGGGAGAAGGCAGCAGGGTGCAGACGAAATTCATCACTGCACGCTGCGGCTGCGTGGGCTTGCTTGTGGGGGGAGAGGGGCACAGAGCGAGGGTCGGAGAGTGAGAGAGTGCGGTGGGAGGAGGCGACGAGGTGCTTCATCTTCCTGCTGCCCTGCTGTAGCACCATGATGTGCAGCCCGGGGGGGAGGTGCGATGCACAGTGCGACACCACTGCCGCCTCGCCTGACCCCCATAGCTGCCGCCTGTGGGTGAGGAAGGGGGAGGGGGAGGTGGGGGTGAGGGAGGAAAGACAAGCGGGCCTGGAGAGAACAGTGCTGAAAAAGCGGCTGTTCTGAGTGCGTGTATGTGTGCGGGCGTGTGCGTGCGTGTGTGCGCGCGTGTGCGTGCGTGTGTGCGCGCGTGTGCGTGCGTGTGTGCGTGCGAGCGTGCGTGTGCGTGCGTGTGTGCGTGCGTGTGCGTGCGTGTGTGCGTGTGAGTCTCAAGATGGGTGACATGGGGTTGACATAAGCGGGGAAAGGACCCACGAGGAGAATGAGGGAGGAAGATAATTGAGAAAGGAGATTCCCGAGGGGAGGAGTGGGAAGGCAGGAGGCAGAAAGCTCACTTGCGCAAGCCAATGAAGAGGCAGGCGGCGTGGAATCGCCTCACTGCCATGCACAGTCCCCGCTCCCTGCTCTCACTCCTCTCCATGTGCGCTAAGGCCTTCACCTGCCATTGCCCATTAACACGAAGTAAAACACGTAGATATTTTTGTTTTTAGCACCAACCATTCCAGCTGCTTTACACTCCCAACAATTTGTTACGACATGCCCATCTCTAGGTCGCCTGTAACCCAGGTATGCGACAGGGGACTACAATTTTCAAAGCATTTAGGAGCAGGCATGTGGATAAGATGATTGAGATCGGGATGACGAGGAAGAATCTCGCCGATGGCGAAGCACCCAAACCTAACCAATTCCCATTGTTCTCATTCCCCTCTCGTCCCACCAAACGCCCTTCCCCACTCCCAACGCTTTACACTCGCGCACATTTCGCGACCATGTCAGTTGCAGCGCCGCCTGGAGCGCAGCCCGTATTCGCGCCTCTTCCGCGTTGTCTTCCGCCCCCCCGCCAGACAGCGCGCTGGTCGGCGCTTCATCTGCGAACGTGGAGGGATAATACGGACGTAGAATTAGAGAATGGAGGAATAGGTTACGAAATAGGTTACGAGAATGGAGAATGGAGAATGGCGCGACGGTAAAATCAGCGTCGCCGCATGGCTGAATGAATCTGCCGCCTGTGGAGTGGACAATGGGATTGTAGCAATACCTCTTCTCTCGCATAAACGACTCGTCGGACGTTTGCGGCGGTTCAGGCTCGAGCGAAATCCGTTACATTTCTCGTCGGACGTGCTGTTACAGCTCACCGTTTCAATCGGCGTCGTAAACGGGACGCGAAAGATTGGGACCTTTTTGGAACGGCACGTCTTTCGCTTGGTGATTGACCGTTACGACTGGATATCGCGAATACTGGGAAAGTTTGGAAGTTTAAGAATGATCATAAGTAATTACACACATATCGAAAACGCCCAAGAAAATCGTGAGAAAACGATGGCTGACGACCGTCGCGGGCCCGCCGTTCACTGCTCCGCGTAGTACGCTGACCGATGCCTTACCGGCTTATCGGCTTAACGGACCACATTAACGAACATGATTACGTTTAATAGCTGGGGGTTCGTCAGTCGAGACAGGGTCAGTTGCGAACACTCATCAACCGTACGAAATCCAGAAAAAAAGAAACGAAAAGAAAAAAAAAACGTAGAAACCCTGCCTTCGCCACCTCCGGCGAAATGGTTTCCAGATCGAACACCGTCGCATCAGTCCATCCACATCGGCATAAGCGCATGAGAGCATGGTTGGACGATCACGTCCATCCCGAAGCGCCCTCGGAAAGACACGGCTTGGCCAGGACGCGTCGCGCTCCGAGGTGGCATTTTCATGGAGACGAACGGTTGGAGATTCATCGAAAAAGGGGAAAGGGGAAGAGGAGGGGGGAAGAGGGGGGGAAGAGGAGAGTGGAAGAGGTGGAGATTCTGAGGGATTGTAGTGCCTACCAGACGTATAGGATTCAAGTGAACGTGAGTCTCCCGAGGCGACAGAGCACAGGATCAGCGTAACTGCCCCCCCCTGCCCACCGCCGGCCTCTGAATCACCGGCGCTTCCACCGCTGACACTGCTGCCACTGCTACTGCTGCTGCTACTATTACTACTGCTGCTACAATTACTACTGCTGCTGCTATCGCCGCTGCATCCGCCGCCACTCGCGTTCAAGCTAGAGCCACTGGTAGCGGCGCCAGAGACGTATTGCTCCGCGTGAGTGACGGCAGCGCGCACAGTCTCCTCAGCCAACTCGCGATTCCTGCAAACCTCCACCACCCACACCACGCTCGGCCACGCGCTCACAGGCCCCATCCCTGCGCGGGGTACCAGGGCCGGGAGTGGAGCAGCGCAGGATAGCGAATCGCGAGTCGCGAGAAGGACAAAGTACGAATCTTGCGGAGTTTTCAGACCCCGTAATGGTCGCGGAGTTAGATTTGTGACTCAACGGGGACGCATGGGTGAGCTGGCAGGTAGAGGACAGGTGAAGGAGCTCTGCGACATGGGCCTGGATGGATGGTGATAAAAAAGCGATTCGACAGGTGGGATTTCTCGAACTCGACAACTCGAACAGAATGATAGCAAATCATTGAGTCCTTGGCGATTGATGATTGAGAAGCTTTTCCAGATCAGGGACAAACCATGAAGGACGATGCAAGGCTTCCAATCCGGAACTCAGGAGCTTGGCTAGCACATCCCGCGCTGTGAGGAGCAGGATGCAGTTGTGTTGCAAAAAGCGCATACTCTGTCAAATGATTCGCCAATTTAGAATGCTCGTTAGTTGACGGGTTGTGGTTGTGACTTAAGGTTTTGAGAGTGCTGGTGGTTGGGTTGGTTTTCCATCCACAGATCTATTCGATAATCCATATTCCATATGACCTTACTCAACCGCACTAAAGTGGACTTTTGTGCATACGCACTTCACCTTTTGAAGCGGCCAACAGCCCACCACAGCAACACCTGCAGCGGCTGCAGCAGCAGCTGTGGTAGGAGCAGCAGCAGCCAGCCATCAATCAGGATTCAGGACAGTGGTGGCGCCTCGAACGAGTCACCTTGTCTCGTTGTCGTTTTGCTATGGTCGTCTGTTGACCGAAGCCACACTCTGGTTTTGTTTCCTCTGCTTGTACTTCCTTGTTTGACTTTATGGGCTTGATAGAAACACATTAAACCCTCAAATCAATGACTATAGGCACACTAAATTATATCATTTCAGTTTAACTGAGCCACCACGCTGGAAAAAGTGTGAAGTGTGACGACCGTAAGGAACTCTGGACGAGTTCTGCACATATATTAGAGAAAATACCACTCTAGAATTTCACGTACAGTAACTGAAACCCACAAAAACAGACAACGTGACCACAAAAACCAAATGCAGGTGTCCATTGTAGTTGGCTGGCAGCCTAGCACAACGGGCTCAAGGCCTCGAGGCGGCCTACCTTGTTTACCCTGCTAATCAGAGGGAAGTTTCCCGCTTCCCTGCGGAAGTAGGTGTCTTCTAAACCAGGACTTCTAGATTTTAGGGATTTACAAACGTCACCCACTACAACTTACTCCACGAACACTATCACAACACACGACAATAAGGAATGGTGCGAAAAAAGGGAGGGGGTGTCGTGTGTGGTTGATGTTGGGGGCGTCAGGTGAGACTGAAGTTCTGCAGACTGAAAATGCTTGTTTGTATAGGGGGTCGTTCAACTCCACCAAGAGAGCGAACTTTTATGGTGATGCGGTTTGGTGATGCGTGAAACAGCATACCATAAAAGTATACAGCAGAGTTCCACCATCTAATGTTTCAAACGTAAGGTCTGGTTTGACTCTACAACACCATCAGCAGGTGCCTTTGGCGTGGCGTTTCTGCCACCGCGCAAACCGCAATTCAGTTACATGGATTCAGTTCTACATGAATCTAGTGACATGAATTCACACTTCGACAGAGATGGAGGGTGCCTGACAAATTCATTTCCGCCCGAAAAATGTGAGACTTCACGAAAGCCTGCTAGTCGAGATAGCTTGACAAAAGATTCGGCGTATTTTGACATCGAGCAGCACTCTGTCATCGCTATTGGGAACTCCGTTATCAAATATATCCGTCTGTAGAAACTTACTACAGATAGCACATCGCGTTTGCGTTTGATGTTTGCGTATTCTAGTCTAAGATGAGCCTGGTTGGGTGAAATAAAACGGGTGGTTAAATGGTTAGGTCTTCACACAAATCACGCACGTGAGGTGGGAGGGAGGGATGCCGGTTGACTTGCGATTTGGGGTGAGGTGCATCTGACGTTGCACGCGCAATATCTTCCATCCAGGAGGGATGGAAGCGAAGTCGTGCAGAAGCGCATCCACACGGCTACCACCAACTCAATTGAAAGGGCCTAACTTGTTAAAAGGCTAAGTATTAGAAGGCTTAGAAGCCATGGGTTTAAGTGACTTGATAGTTAAGTTTGAGGGTAAGGAAAAATATCGAGAGAGTTGAGAGAGGGGAATGGTTGAACTAGAAAGTGGAGGGATACAAGTAGCAAGCTCAAAAGGGTTATACTCACTTTTGAGTACCCCACTACATACTAGACAAGCTTAATAATCTGACATAACTCCTATAGCTTCACGAAGCAGAACCTAATTGTGAAGATTCACAATTAGATGGAGCTCCGGCTGCTTCCCAGCTTGGCTGTTGCAAGACAGCTTTCGTTGCAACTTTAGCTGGTTGGTTGGTTGGAAAACGTTGCTGATGAAGGGTATGACAATGCAGCTACAGATGCAGGCATGGAATGGAGGATGCAGAAATACAGTACATGTAAAAGACTGGGTGGCATTGTGGCATCTACCGGTATGTGTGAAACTTTAAGGAACAAGAATGAATGAACTATGAAATGTGTGAGTACAAGTACCAACCCTAATTGGGTTGTACCCCTTATGGGATACCCCACTATAGCCTACACAAAAGCATAAGCTATAAGTTCTGACACACCCCCATAGGCAAAGTGGGGGAGAACAAGGGGTCACAAGATCAGTCAAGCAAAGCAAAGCAAAGCTCAGGGTGGATCACAAAGTCACCACACAGTCCGAGCACAAGGTCAAGGCCACAAGGCCAGTTCACATGCAAGAGAAGGCATATATATATAAGGCTAAACAAGCAAGAGCAGGTATATATATATGCAAGAGTACAAGCAAGGTCAAGAGGTGAGCAAGTGAGGTAAGATAGGGACAAGTCCCAGCTGAGTACAGAAGCGCTGATGATCACAAGGCGGAAGTGCCTTGGTGAAAACATCAGCAGTGTTGGCCTCAGAGGCCACGTACGCAAGTCGCAACTGACCACGCTGCTGCAGCTCACGAGCAAGGAAGTAGCGGAGAGCAATGTGCTTCGTTCTGTGCTCCAAGCGCTGCTCTCGACACAAGGCCAGCATGGCCTTGTTGTCTACGTACAGCACTGGAGGAGAACGAGGCGGCTCTCCAAGGTCAGTCAGCAGGTAGGTGAGCCAGCGAAGCTCCTGTGCAGCCATGGCCCCGGCGTAGATCTCAGCC